GTTGATGCACATCTGCATAGTCAAACCGCACATCTTCAGCATGATGTTGATTTGCCCACCGTTCTATGCACAATACACCGTCAACCCTAAACCTTGTTCCTCTAGCACGACCGGCCCCAAGACGCGTACAGGTCCTTAGTTGTAAGACCGCTCCCACAGGCCCTTCCGACACCCAAAAAACAAGGCACCGATGGGCGATCGAAGACCGGCCCCGAACTTCGCTTCAACCATGGAGCCCAGGACAGTTTCGGAATTTTAGACCGAAGTACCATTGGGAAGCTCATATCCGCCGACCCCGCTTGTGTGGTCGAGCGCCGGGGAAGCCAGTTGCTTGCGGGTCATCTCCTCCCTTTAAGGGGTCCGTGGGCATTGTAAGGGTTGTATACGGTGTAGTTTCGGATGATCGGATGTAGTGTCTGGAATTTGTAGGGCTTCGGGTCTAGAATGAAGGGTCTAGTTTCTAGGGCTCTACGCCCTCTACGCCTAATCCAGGGGCCGCACAACTAGAACAGGGCTTGGGCTATCCCGCACCCATGCCTTCCCTAATTCTTTTGCCTGTACCCTGCCACTTCCTTCCAAAACCCGTCCTCCCTCCAAGCCCTCCTTTACCCTGGGCCTCTACGCCCTACCCCTACCTCCTGCTTCCACTCCCGGCCTTCCCCAACAAAAAAATGTTTTCTTCTAAATGACGCAAATACCTCACCAAAAAAGTCACGGTACTCCCATACCTCGAGGCCTTCCCTCAACTCAGTGCCCACTCCCTCAAGCCCTCCACCCTACCTCCTACCCCGCCTGACCAAAAAAAACCTTTGTGTCACCTTCTTCTCCCATACCCCCAGACCTTCTTTCTGTCGGCTCAGTGCCACCCCACACCAAGCCCTTCTACTCGACGCCCCTAGCCCCTACCCCCACCTCCGACCCCGCGTCACCCTCTATCCCTCCAAAACTCAGTGCCCAAAACGCCCCCTCCCGCCTCTTCCCTTCCTTCTACCACTCCCTGCCGTCCTTGTCCTTCCCCTTCCCTCTACTCACATGTCAAGCCTGAACGCAAATTTTGGGCCGCAGGCGCTGCTAGCCCTGGCGTTGCTGCCGCAGGCCGTAGCCATGGAGCGGAAGGCAATGCTGCCGACCCCTGCATCATGGGACTCTCGTTTCTCCATCGGGCCGTGCGGGACCTGGTTGGGAGGCTTACCCGGCAACGCACACGTTTTGCGGCCAATCCCCACGGTATGCCGTGTTTTGGTGCACCCGCGGGCGAGCATCATGAGCACCGGGCGCGCGCGCGCGCAGCGGCCCATCATGCCGATGTTTTGGGAGGTCGGGAGGGGTACCGGAAGGCCTCAAATTGATGCCCCCACGCACGCCGCGATGGCTCACTGGAAGGCCTCAAAGGTGACTCCCACGCGCGGCGCAATGATGCTGGCCAGGGAGGCGGCAGGGAGGGACCCTTCGGGACTCGACGCGCATGCTCATGATGCTGGCCGGAAGAACAGGAAGAAACAGGAAGGGCAAGGGCAGGAGAAGGGATCAGGGGGGGAGGCGGGGGGGGGGGGGG